TGGAGCGGCAGAAATCACTGGTCTAATAATCAGAGACCAGGGACCAGACTCTAGGCCTGAAGGAATTTCAGAGGTCTCTCATTATACAGTTTAGAAAATTGACATTGATTTTTCCTGGCCCTGCCCTTAAAGTTTTTCCTGTGACCTTGAGCTAGCTCTTCCCCTCTCTGGACTGTTAGCTCAATTGCAAAGGGTCCCTTCCATATCTGAATTCTGTTATGAGCAAGTCAATGACTCCCACTTTAACATATGTGGGTAAAGAGGTGTTTCCTTGTGGTTTAAGGGTCAAGTCTAGGGAAGTTCAAGCTGACACAGACAACAACAAAATACTCATTTATTTTTCTCATTGTTCCAAATGGCCTTGACTTATAAAGCTTTCCCATAGAGTAGGCTAGTAATAAGGGGGAAGCTCAAAAGAGAGTCCTTGTCCTTCCCACCCACATAACTGTATCATTCTCCTTGAAAGACTGTGGATCCAAATGCAGGTTACTACACCCGAGTGGACTCACAGCATAAGGCTCATCTGTAAATCCAGCAATTCAAAGTTGATTTCCCAGGTGCTGAAAGAATTTGTCTGAAGAGGTGCAGGGAACTTGGGAAGCCATCTGTCCCAACTCCTTCCTATTGAGTTGGGGACACTGGCTGCCTAAGCCACACAGCCATTGTTCAAAGCCATAGCCATTGCTGCACAGGCTCCAGCTAGTTCTGCAGACTCCCGAGTTACTGTCTTCCTGTAGCAGGATAAGGAAGTGCAGGGATTCTGGAAATATCACCCCCAAATATGCCACCTTTGCATGGTGATGACTATAAATTGAGGGCATTTGAGGAACAGCACCTGCAGGGAAGGATTTCCCCTGAAGTTCCCTTATCTGACTGAAAATGGATCCCCCACATAATCATAGGAGAGGATGTGGAGGACTGTCACCTATTCTCATGAGATGACTTTTCTTTCCTGAAAGACTTTTTGTGTGTGTGTATTGCCAGGGATTGAATCCAAGTGTTCTTAACCCCGGAGCCACATCCCCAATCCCCAGCCCTTTTTATTTTGAGACAGGTAATTGCTAAGTTGCTTAGGGCCTCACTAAATTGCTGAGGCTGGCTTTGAACTTGTGAGCCTCCTGCCTCAGCCTCCTGAGCCACTGGGATTAAAGGCTTGTCTGAAAGGCTCTCTATCTATGAAACCAGATAACCTTTATTCACCACATCCTCCTCTTCCACCCCCACATCCCAGAAGCCACAAGCCCTGCTGCCTTTCTGTAGCTCAGGATGCTATAAAAGCATCAATCATCTGCTGCTGCTTCCAGCCTCAGATTTTGTGGGACTCTCATATGTTGGTATGTAATTAAACTAGTTTTTCTCTGGTTAATCTGTCCACCATCAATTTATTTTGTAGAGTCAGTTGTCAAACCTTCAGAGGTAGTGTGCCTCCCACTAGAATTTTGGTGGCAGAGGAGTCCATGTACCCTAAGAAGGCCAACATAGAGGGAGAATGTCATAGGAACATGGAGACAGAAATTAGGGAAAGCCAAAATCTGCCAGCAAATCAGATGCTAGGAGAGCAGCCTGGATTGGATTCTCCCTCACAGCCTTCAGAAGGGACCAACCTTGCTAACATCTTGATCTTGGACTTCTGGGCTCCAGAATTGTAAGACAATTTAATCTGCCTAGTCTGGGGTACTTTGTTCTGGCAGTCCAAGCCAATAGGTACAGCTTTTTATAGAGCTTTCCCTGCTCAACACATTCCAGTTTGCCGTAGTCTGGCTGGGCACAAAACAACGGAGCCGCCTTGAGGCACTTGTAGGTTCAAACAGGAACTACTTTATTGCCAGAACCCCACCGGCACTCCACCGCACTCCCCGGGAACTCTCCCAGCTCTCCACGGGGCTCCCAGAGAACTCAACGGGAACTCCAGGAACTCCAGGAACTCCAGGAACTCCGGGAACTCCGTGAGAACTCAAAAGTAGCGGGCTCCGAGGCAGCAGAAGCCGCCCTATTGCCGGACAGCAGGGGTCTATATACAACTGAATACACAGCCTGCCCCAATCCAGCATCATCCAGTCACAGCAATTATACACAGCTTAACTTAATTATCATCATCTTAATGGCTCGCTTGTCTCACCTCTCAACCACTCCTTCTGGCAAAATGCCAGGCGCCTCCCCATTCCGATTCCGCTGTGGCTCTCAACACCACTTGTCCTGCATACTTCAACTTTGCAGAACGAAGTTGAGCTTGAAAAACCAGCCTCTACCTCAGAGCAAAGCCTGTCCAAGGAAGGGACATGGCCTTTGTCCTTGGAAAGACCCACAGAGCACTCCTAGGCATATTCCCACCCTGCTGAGTTGTTTATCTACAAATAACAGGAGAGATCTGCTGCACCAGGTGTCCCTGACTCAGTCAGGCTAGGTGAGGATCCATAGCAACCCCCTAGCAGCCACCAATCAGCATGAGACAGGGAAATACCTGGGATGCCAGATGACCCTCCCAGTAGTTTATGGTGGTTGATAACATGTTGGGAAACCATGTAGTTCAGCACGAACACCCCTCATGGCTTAAACCAATCAGTTCAAATAAATCCCCCTCTGTAGTAACCAATTACCCCTACTCAACTTGTTCCCGCCAGTGAATGTGCTAATCATGTTTTAGAGTTGTTATTTGATTTTCCCCGCGGTGTGTGATGAATTGCTAAGAGATGCTATGATGTAGGTGGGGGTCCCTGCCTTCTCCAAAGAATGTATAAAACTGCTGCAAACCCTGGGCTCGGGGCCTCTCAGGGTCACCAGTTGCTGTGTGTGCACGCGGAGGACTGAGCTAGTTCTCAATAAACACCTCTTTGCTGTTTACATCGATCTTGGTCTCTGGTGGTCTTTTGGGGGTCCCGAATTCGAGCATAACAAGCTGACTTTTCTCCATAGCAGCCCATGGCTGAGAAATTTCAAGTTGTGGGGATGCATGAATCAGAGTATCAGAATCACTAGATGGAAGGATCCCAGTCCGAGGAATTCCTTGTACAAGGTCTCCTTCCGTCAAGGCAGAAAAGAGTGCTCTGCTTTGGCTTGATGACTGGGTAGTGAATACCTTAGTGAATCAACTGAAGAAGAGAACGTGTTTATCTTGGTTCAGTTTTAGAGGTTCCAGCCCATGAGTGGTTAATGTGTTCACCTCCCTTCAATACTTGGTGCTACAGAGACCTGCTCCTTAGGAATCTGGAAATGGGGGAAATGGGATTGCTACCAGCTTACTGACAAGAGCAGAGCAATGCAAGGTCACCAGAGCAAAAGCAAAAGCAAAAGGCAAGTCAGAGAGGCAGATGCAGCATTTCCTGTCGAAAGGGTGTATGGGGGAGAACGAGTGTTAGTCACCAAACTTAAAAGTGCTTCTTGTTCCAAGGGAAAGGTTCTCTCTTTAGGTAGAGATGGAGGGTGCAGAGAGGCACAGATTTCATATATATCTAATCCCTCTGGCAAGACTTATCCTGTTATAAATTGGATGCGTCAGGCTGTCATAGCTTGATGTCATCAACCATTCCTTTAACAGCCCACACTGATTCTGTGAGCACCGACAACCTTCAGATGAGGTGTGGCTTCCGTCTTGCCTTAGAGAAGGCACTGGATTACATCCAGGCTGACTCCAGCTACTCATGACAGGGACTCCTCACTATAAATCAAGAGCTGGATTATGATTTCACTTGTGTGCCCTGCTTAGGAAAGAGACAGCAAGGATAACACTCACACAGAGAATTTTGAGTCTGATTTTTATTCATCGCTGCAAGTTGATATACACACGCTCTTTGATTAACCTTGCTTCTGCACATTTTTCAGTTAGCCCAAGTGAGCCTCTCAGCCATCAATATCATATGTCAACAACAAACGACAGTGAGTCCTTGAGATTTCAACATATAATACAGCTTAGGGGACGTCTGCTGTCAGCTATGATGGAGTCACTGATACAGAATTAACACTTCCACCATAAAGAAAAATGGACAAAAAATTAGGATATTCATTTAAGGCTTTGGACCACAGGAAGAGAAACTATAACCTCTGAAAGAAAGGATCACTTTATTTTTCTGCCCCAAGGTGCGGTAAGCTAAAATCCACCTGAGTTAAGGAGGAAGATTATCAGCTGGGAGAGTTGGGGGCAGCTGAAGTGCCTGGAATCCTCGGGCATCTGTATTAGGGTCTCTTGTAAAGTAGGGAAGATGCGAAGCCAGTGGACTGCTCATGAACTGCTAGTGGGAGTGACATGCTACAGCTTGAAAACTGTCCCGCGGTACCTTATGAAGTTACATGTACGCTGGCCACGTGACCCTGCAAGCTGTGTCCCTCATCTGTATAGTGGACATACATCTACAAAACCACTTGACTAAGGAAAGTTGTTCATCAACAACCAGGGTGGTGAATGGATTATCAAATGTGGATTATTTTTACCACATAATACTGCTCAGCAATAAAAAAGGAACCAACTACTGATACCCACACATAGATGACTCTCCTAAACAATGTGAGCAAACAGTGTGAGACACAAAGCAGTGTATTCTACAGAATTCCATTTGTGTGTGTGTGTGGTGTGTGGTGTGTAGTCTGATTACAGAATTGCAGGAGGGAAATATCTGAGGTGATGGAGACATTTTGCATTTTGTTTGGGGTGCTGGTGGGCAAGGATGAATACATTTGTCAAAACTCACAGAGCTGTACATTTAAAATATAGTCATATATGTTTATATTACAAAAAGGTTGATCTAAACAACAACAAAAAGCAAAACAAAACAAAACAAAAAAACCACAAAGGGCCAGTCCCTGGCATATGGTGGCTGATCAAAGGGGCTCCCTGGTGGCCTTGCTAATTCAGCACTCGGTTCTCGATTGTTTTCTATATGTTTAGGAAGGCATGCTTGCACGGCAACATGATGTAAGCAGTATATGATCGTCCTACAGTTTTTAAAAGGCACATCCACAAAACTACTTGTCTGAGAAGTGTTTTATATCTTGCATAAACATTTTTTTTAAATATGGAACGTTTCACAAATTTACGTGTCATCCTCGTGCAGGGGCCATTTTAATTTTCTTGATCTCGTTCCAATGTTAGTATATGTGCCGCCAAACTGAGATCTATCTATCTATCTCTATCTATCTATCTATATATCTATCTATCTATATCTATATCTATATCTATATCTATCTATCTATCTATATCTATCTATATCTATCTATCTATCTATTTTTTTTTAATCACATCATAACCCGCGGACCTGGGGCTGAACCTCCACCTCTGAGTCACTAGATTCCAAAAGGCGCTGACTTTAACCTTCAGGAAGGTGGGTACAAAGCCCTCTGGCAAAATTGCTCCGGTCGGCACAATCCTGCTCAGCTTTCTTTCTTTTCTCTTCCACCTAATGGCCTTGGAGCTTCTGCGTCTGCAAGCCTCAGGAGCCTTGACTGCGCATGCTCCTTCTTGCTTTGGGGGAGATGCCCGCTTCCCTTTGGGGGAGGGTCTTGGCTGTGGACCTGCAGTAGGGTATCCCTTGGATCTTTTTTTTTTTTTTTTTGCAGGTTCTTAAAGGGGCACTCATGTGCCTATCGCTGAGGTCAGCAGCCTTCTGTAAAGGGTTGGGCAGTTGATAATTTGGACTCTGTGCACCAAGAGGCAAACACCTAGAACATTAACTAGGAGCTTAACTAACAAGAGAGAAAACACAATTCCACAACGTTTAAATTGACAAAATGAAAAATATAACTACAGAATATATATATATGGCTCAGAGTTCATGTTTCCTTTCATTTTAGAATTGGTTAGGGCTGAGGGCTGAGTGTAGCACAGTGGTAGAGTGCTTGCCTAGCATACATGAGATCCTGGGCTCAATTCCCAGCACCCATTTTCCTGTGACTGAATGCAGTGCTCAGCTGTTAATGCAGATTTGCAACAATAACAAAATTATCTGCTTCATTTCTGAAATGTCTTTTTTTTTTTTTTTGTACCAGGGATGGAACTCTAGGGCACTCAACCACTGAGCCACATCCCCCCAGCCCTTTTTTGTATTTTATTTAGAGACAGGATCTTGCTGAGTTATTTAGGGCCTCACTAAATTGCTGAGGCTGGCTTTGAACTCATGATCCTCCTGCCTCAGCCTCCAAAGCCACTGGGATTACAGGTGTGCGCTGAGGTCAGCAGCAGTTGAACCCAGGGCTTTGCTCATCCTAGGCAAGTGCCCTACCCCTGGGCTTCACTGCCAGCCCCACCCCCATTTATTTATTTTGATGTGGGACTGGGGATCAAACCCAGGGCCCTGAGTATGCTAGGCCAGCGCTGTAACACAAAGCTATGCCCAAGTCCCCAACTTTTCTAATTTTAAAAAACACTTTTTTGGTTGTAGATGGACACAATATCTTTATTTTTACTCATTTACTTTTTTAATGTGGTGCAGGGGATTGAGCCCAGGGTCTTGCGTGTGAGGCAAGCGCTGTACCACGGGCTACAACCCCAGCCTTCTAATTTTTACTTTTGAGACAGGGTCTCAATAGGTTGCCCAGGCTGGCCTGAAATTTTCGATCCTCTTGCCTCAGCCTCCTGAGTTGCTGGGATTACTGGAATTTGCCATCCTGCATAGTATATGATTTTAACTGATCATTATATAATTATCATTATATAATCTATTAGATTCTTTTCCGGAAACTTGCCTTTCAGCGGGCAAGTTATTTACTTCCATTGAAGTGACTCCATTGCACAGTGAGATGGATTTTGTAATTTGGAAATTTTCTTTACACTTTTATGGAGGTGGAACTGTAGTTTGAGCTTGGAAAATATATCTGCTCAAATTTGTATGAACATGAAGAGCTCAATTCTTGTTTCAGCTTTTGACAACACAGAAAGCATATAATGCAGTTCGATGTCACTTGTCACTGACTCTGTTAGTTTGACTAGAATGCACCCATAGAAATATGGAGAAAAGACAATGTTAGTTGTCATCACAATGACCTTGCCGCTGTTGAAGTTTTGCATATCAGTGCTCTTAATATTAGGTTGAGTTCATTAAAGCATTATCAAGTATGTTGCAAAAGCTAAGTTCTAAAGCCACTCAGTGTTCTGTAACCAAAGTTGAGGGCAGTTCTTATTCAGAAAAATTTCAATTTTAGCCTGAGCTAAAAAAAAAAAAAGAATCACAGTAATTCTTTACCACTGGTAACCACTGGTAATCCATTAAACTGCTGGTAATAGGCCAAGTCAAAACTCATGGAACTGAAGATGGGGAAGGAATGAGATTGAATCAAGTTTACTGTGACACTCCTGGTGTACACATGATTCAGTACTGCATGATAGATAGGTTCAGTAACACATGATAGAGAGATTCTAATATTTGGGGGCAAATATCTGCTGATAAGCTATGTAATGGCTGGGCTCAGTGACACATGCCTGTAATCCCAGAAGCTGAGGCAGGAGGATCACAAGTTCAAAGCCAGTCTCAGCCATTCAGTGAGTCTTAAGCAACTTAGTGAGACTTTGTCTCAAAATTAAAAACAAAAAACAGGCTGGAGATGTGGCTCAGCAGTTAAGTGCCCCTGGGTTAAATCCTTGGTACCAAAAGAAGAAGAAGAAGAAAAAAACCCCCCATAAAACAGATAAAGAAACAAACAACAACAACAAATATATATATGACAACCACAGTTTTTTTGACTTTACATTTTCACAAGCTTTGTAAATTGGTCCAATTAATTTTTTTTTCCTGCTCTATACTCTTTTTGCCACCATCAGTTGTAACACATTTTTACAGAGTTGTACTCATTCAATGTTTCCTCAATTTCTTCTGAAATATTCTCTGCTATGGTTGCTCCTGCAGTCTATTTATAGGGGCTAACTCTGCGGTGGACCTCAGCATGAACTCCTTCAGTAAATAATAACTGAGCAGCATCAGTAAGGGCTCTGAATAAATATCTGTTTTCCCCAGCAGTTATCAGAGACCCAGAGAGAAGAGCACAGCAGGGGCTCCGCTGTCTGGGGTTGACCACAGGCTCAGCTTCAAAGACAAAACCACAATGTGAGACTTCAAAAGAGTTTTTTTTTTTTTTAAATACTTACAAATCCTGGGGAGTGCACAGCCAGGGTGGAAGACAATACACTGAGGTCAGGCGGTGTAGGAAGATAGAAAGATGGAAATGGGGGCGGGGACTCATGGGAAAATGCCTTCATGGGGTCCTGGGTGTCATCCAAAGAGTTTTCAGTAGGAAGCTTTAATTGGTAAGCGCTCCTCCTCGGAGTTTACCATGGGATGGAGAGGCGGTCACTTTAAATTCATGGGAAAACCTCTGAAGGGTCCTTTTAAAGAGACCAGCAGGGAATGCTGGGAGCTCAGTCTGCTAGGCTAGAGGATGTCTCTAAGTTTTGCCTCTGGCCACGGGCCACAGCCCTTTGGGCAGGGTATAGTAATGGAAACTGTCCAGGGTGGCTGAAGACCTCTTCTGGTATGAGAAAGTTAAACATTTAAAAACAGATGCTGAGGCAACATCAAATTATAAACACTCACTACAGTATCATTCGCCATTTTATCAAGAGGCAATAAAAACCACTCAAAATCATCTGACTTCTTTTTCTTTTTTTTTTAACTTATTCTGATTTGTTATACATAATGGCAGAATGCAATTCGTGTTACACATATAGAACAAAATTTTTCAAGACACTGGTTGTAACAAAAGTCTTTTCACATCATTCGTGTCTTACACATGCACTTAGGGTAATGATGTCTAACTCAGTCCACCATCATTCCTACCCCCATGTCTCCTTCCTTCCCCTCCCTCCCTTTTGCCTTATCTAAAGTTCCTCCATTCCTCCCATGCTCCCCCCACAATCACCATTATGCTTCTGCATCCTTATATCAGAGAAAACATTCGGCCTTTGTTTTTTTGGGAATTGGCTTCACTTAGCATTATATTCTCCAACTCCATCCATTTGCCTGCAAATGCCGTGATTTTATTCTCTTTTATTGCTGATAATATTCCATTGTGTATATATGCCACATTTTCTTTATCCATTCATCTACTGAAGGGCATCTAGTTTGGTTCCACGGTTTAGCTATTGTGAATTGTGCTGCTACAAACATTGATGTGGCTGTGTCCCTGTAGTACGCTGTTTTTAAGTCCTTTGGGTATAAACCTAGGAGAGGGATAGCTGGGTCAAATGGTGATTTTATTCCAAGATTTCCAAGGAATCTCCATACTGCTTTCCATATTGGCTGCACCAATTTGCAGTCCCACCAGCAGTGTATGAGGATACCTTTCTCCCCACATCCTCGCCAACACTTGTTGTTGTTTGTATTCTGACTGGAGAAAGATGAAATCTTGGAGTAGTTTTTCTAATTACTAGAGATGCATTTCTCTAATTACTAGAGATGTTGAACATTTTTTTTCATGTTTACTGATTATCTGTATATCCTCTTCTGAGGAGTGTCTCTTTCAGGTCCTTGGCCCATTTATTGATTAGGTTATTTGTTTTTTTGGTGCTTAGCTTTTGGAGTTCTTTATATATCCTAGAGATTAGTGCTCTATCTGATGTGCTTGTATTATTTTTCAATTGACTAAGTTTCCTAGGACAGCTGAAACAAGTGACCATAAACTTGGTGGCTTGGAACAACATAAGTGTATTTTCTTTTTTCTGCTACTGGTGATTGAACCTGGGGGCTCCTTACCACTGAGCTATACCCCTAGTCCTTTTAATTTATTTTTTAAAAATCTTTTTAAAGAGACAGGCTGGCTTCGACTTGCAGGTCTCCTGTCTTAGCTTCCTGAGTCACTGGAATTCCAGGCTTGGGCCACTGCACTGGGCAACATAAATGTTTTCCTAAACAGTTCTGGAGGCCCGAAGCCTGAAATCAAGGTGTTGGCAAGCCACATACCCTCTCCCTCGGGAGGTTCTATGAGGGAATTTGTTCTTTGTCTTTTTCAACTTCTGGTAGTTCCTGATTTCCTTGGCTTGTGGCCACATCACTCCAATTTCAGTCTCCATTTCCACACCATCTCTTTTCCCGTGTGTCTCTTCTCTATCTCTTATAAGGACACTTGACATTGGATTTAGGGTCCACCTACATAATTCAGGATAATCTCATCTCAAGATCTTTAATTTAA